ACACTGTAATGTTATTTTTCCTGTAATCACATTACTTGCAATCACATTACTTGCAATCACATTACCTATAATTACATTGCATTATAATGTACTAAACGTCACTTAAGTGAATAATTGTACATAAATTATTTAATTGCATGGGACTATTTCTAGCAAAGAATCTTGTTTGCTGAAATGGAGACAACTTTTTGATAAGTAGTTGAGACGAGCTCTAATGTCATTCACTAACTACGGTCTGATTAAACAGGGTGTTATTGGTTGACTTTAAGCTACACCTAAAACTTTTGAAAAGTTCCTCCCGTGCTAAATATAGTACTATCACTATGCTGCCACAACATGGTAGCCAAAAAGCTTTTTCCCTGTTGAGAGTGTTTTCCACAAGAAGGTTCTGCCTGGTAACCCCTTTCCCAATGCTTCTACTACTGTCAGAACGTTCGCCAGGGTTTTTTTTCTCCAAAACTGACTGATCTCTTCATTGTTCCTCATTATTGCAAAGGTAGCCGGTGTTGTCTGTAATCGGAGGCGTCCATCGGACTTCAACTTTTGGAGAGTAGTATTTAATCTATCAAGGATTACTAACCTGTTTGATTACTCAGAAAAGGTTTTAGAACTAATTTTTGTTTCAGTTGAAAATGATTGTAGAAAAACGGACTAAAATGGGCCTTACATGGGGTTTTATAGGACTCTTCTGGCTTGGGCCTATCTGTCAAGTTCCGACTAGAAATGACCTTAGCTCCAAAGCTTAAACAGCCCAACACAAGGACTTGGTCAGAAACTGGCAAGTTCAAGACCCAAACAGGGGCCGAGGCCGACCAATTAATAATGCCCATCCCTATGCCGCTCTGTTCTGTATCAGCTGAAGTCGATGGAAATGATATGAATCATGAAACTTAAGTAAAAATTTGAACAATGAAATGTTTACTGTTAACTCTAGCTTCTGTCTGTAATGGAGTTGAACTGTCTGTCTCCCTAAAGAGTGATACTAATTGAAAAAATGGAAAACCTCATTCCTTCAGTTGTGAATTTCTATCAACAAGAGGCTCATAATTGTGAAAAGAAGTACTAGCACCAAATTTAATCTACATCGATTTCCACTTCCAATTGGAAGACGTGTAGGGAGTGCACACTCTTCCCCATTGAAAAAGACCCTTGAAGGAAATCCATTTCCTTCTGCTATATTGATCCCCTGTTTGCGCTTCTTTTTAAAGGAAATGACAGATTGCTGTTTCCCTGGCACATTTGGATCTGTTTTTGGGTTTGAACCATTCACCTCTCCCATCAAATAATTCAAACCTGGTAGGCCTTGGATGAAGATTGTGTTGTTGAGTTTTGTCAGTAACGTTCCATTGAAAGAGTAGAGCTTTTCGTAACCACTACCAGCTTTCTTAAACTGAATTGCTGTGAACCAGTTTTCAAAGTTGATTCTTTCCCAGTTGAAAAGGGTGATTTGAGCGGCCCATCCATGGTTGTAATCCGAAATGACGTGCCAATTTATGCCAACTCCACAATTGTCGCTACAAGGCACTGGCTTGGGGACAGGAAAATGCTTAAGTGCTGCCCAAGCTCTGGCTTTTGCTGACCTGTTTGCAAAGGGAACAAGAAGGGCCTCTGCAGGAAGAAGCATTGCCGGTTTCTTCGGATTGCATTTTTCTGTATCTTCACAGCCACAGGCACAAGTGTCGCAAGGTATGACAGACTCGTCGTAATAACCAGAGAAGGAAACACAACATTTAAAATTTCCTTCGGTCGGCCTCGGGATGTTACAAGCCACTTGCCAGCTTGCAAGCGCATCTTTTGTAGCTTGAAGCCCACTTGGAAAACCGACTTGGATTTGCTTCCACCCATGGTTTCTGGAAAAAGGGTACCATTTCTGTAGCAATACGGTATCTTTCCCAACTCGGTGTCATTTGCTCTCTCCGCAGGCAAGTCAAAAATAATAGGATTCTTCTGGCAGTTCAAAACATTAGAAAAATCCATTTCTTGGTAGTACTGCCCAGCAAGACCATATATACAGCCTGCCGTGTCTACTTCTCGCACATAAGCTCCTTTCATTGAGTATATGAATTCCCCTCTCATCCACTCCCAAGTCAAGTTCCAATGACCAAGACGACCCAAGGGGTTACTGTTCTCTATCGTCACCTGAGCAAGGTAGTTGTTTCCGTAGGATTGAGTAACATTATAAGAAATCGAAAGGTCCCCTTTCTGGCGTGGCAAGAACTTTGTTTTGAGGTCTTTAGCCATATACTTTGGGTTCCTAACACAACATACGTACATTGCGGTCTCTGTCGGTGAACAACACGAACTTTTTTATTGTTATGCCTCAGAAAGCGAAGGGAAAGTATAGAAAGAAAGACAGACAAAAGGAGGACTTTTAAGTACTCGCTGCGTTGAGTCGGTGCTGGACATTTGTATCCATCGTTTACAAGTTTTATTGTTTTAGGCATTGGGATCCTAGGTGGTCTCAGACCAAACTGCGTGCCACTCAATTCAATTTGCGCTTGAATTTGGTTAAAATCATCGGCTGTGTCAACGGATGTTTCGAGATCAGATTAACTGTATCCTGAGAGGTAAGTTACATTGCCAACGGCAGCAGGAAAATCCCCACCATTCGTTAAAAACTGCTCCACCTGCTGAAACTGGTATCTCCTTGTATCGAAACCCAATGAATATCTTCCAGGCCTGTAGCACATATGTTCCTGTGTTCATCATCGTGGCTGTGGCTTTGAACGCCCAGGCTTGAGCTGTTGCATTCCTCACATGCGGATATTCTTTTGTTCAAGAGATGAAATTGTAGGAAACGAAAATCCCATTACAATTTTCTTGCCCCTCGGGAAGCGTAGGTTGTGCCTCGGTATCATAATCTTGGTCTAAACAAAAATGATTTGTGGAACAAAACTGAAACAACATGAAGCCTAAGACTTTCCATGACAATTTCATGTCTTCCTACTCGACAGAAACTCAGAGATAAAACATTGAATCACCTAGCAATTACTTAATCTTGATCAAACAAAAACTATTTGACGCTCTAATGGAAACTGTTTGTAGTACTGGATTCTACCAATGAAATTGCAGGCGTCAGTGCATATGGCAGAGAAGAGAACAGAGGGAGAGATTGAGAAGAAAGAGTATGGAGGAAAGGTTGAATCGAAATGTTGGATGCTGCAGTCAGAATTAATGTAGAATAAGTCAAGCCTGAAACCTCCTCCTCTAAGTTTGCAATGTATTTGGAAGGGATGCAATTGGCTGCCATTTGAAGCTGTAATTCTAGTATTTAGTAAGTGACTCATAAACCATTACTTTGACAATATTTCTAATCGTTTTCCTCTCTCTTCTAACTTTCATACTAAAATTTAGGTAAACTCTTACAATCTTTTGTGATTTTAATTATTTTACACTACATTTTGTAGTTTTTTCCTTTTTTCTCAAATAATACGGGATAGGTTATTAATTGTCCCAAAAAATAATCAAAATACCTTCAATTCAAAGTTAACCTATTTATTTTCACGTAAAGATATTTTTGTAATTTTACTAGACAAAATTTATCAACAGGGTGCTAAGTCGGAAAAAAGAAATTTCCTTAAACAAATGCATTAATCAAATTATAAGAAGGTTTATGTTGTGGTTTTTGGAATTATATCATTCCTGACAGGGAATTACATCAAAAGACTCTTGGATTCCCAAGCTAAAACATGGACTGCAACCATTTGATTGACCTGAACATAAACATCTTCCCGTTTATGGGATCCTTTCAAGCAGCAAGATTCCTGAAGATAAACTATCGTTTCATCCATAAGCAACAAGGAGAAAGATTAGATTCCTTTACAAACTTGTTCGAGTCCAATTATCTGAATCAGCAAAACTTTCCACCAACACAACTACAATACAACTCCCCTGCATGATTATTCCTTGGTGTAAACCAAAAATTTGCTTCTGGCTATATAGATAAGTCTCACCCTGGATATCGATCATTCCTTTTTGTTCATGTTATCAACCCTACCTAATGTACTTTTACCCTTCTGTAAATTAAATATGAATTCTAATTTACACAAGCTTTGCTCAAATTCCTACACTTTTTTGTCTGTCTTCATGAATATCTTGAGTACTGAAAGGAACTTCTGCAATCTTGTCTCTGCGTGTTGATTGTTTATCAGTTGAAACCAAAGGCCACAAATCTTGCAGGATGATCTCTAAGTTTCAAGGCCTGTTGATGATCCCAATTGTGTGTATATGGCCTTGGTCTTTGATGTTCGCGAAGATTTTGAGGAAGACTTGGGAGAGGAAGTCGTCTTCTTTTTCCATTTTTGTTTCTTGGGAATATTTGGAGGATCTGCGGAAGACAGGTCTCTTATCATCTGTCTTGCAGGTTCGCATCCCATTGATTGTTCAAAATCTGTCACAAATCAATGAAAGGCATGATCAGAATGTTATATTAGTTTAACAGTGTTATTACCTGATCACAATATATTTAGTAAATGACTGTTGATAGTTCCATGAAGAATGATCAAAGTGTGTTACAAATTCTAACAGAGAAAAACCACAAAGTCACATACCCGCCCAAACCAGGACAGAAAACAAAGAGGTAAATCCCAAGACATCTTTCCAAACAGAAATTTTCATGGAAAAGTGAACCAGTTCCACGAAGTTCTCTTCTTTATCAAAAGGGAACAAGCAAAAATAAGAGTTGTCACTGTTAACATTATGTCCATATGGCCAAATATCATCAAAACTTAAATGCTGAACAGCTTTCAGACAGATGACATGAGCTAAGTCAACAGTGCTACCAAAAAATCCTTCTTAAAACCAGAGTTATGGAGGCAGTAAAATTATTGCAAGGGACCACCGAAAAGGTCTCGAGCTTAGGACTAGAAGCTTACAGATTCTCCTTGATATGGATGTTTTGTCCCGTGACAGAAGAGCCAAACTCTCCCTCTTGGGAGCTAAATAATTTAAAAAAGTTTCTCCATGTCTTGGAAATTTAGCTTCAATCAGTCGAGGCATAAAACATTATCAATCTGACCCGTGAAAAGGGCCCTATTTTCTATTGTCTTATTAGGAACTCCCCACATGATACCAGACAATGCTTCAGGATTGCATAATTTAGAAGTATAGCTATTCACTTGGCTTTACCTACTGTTCTCTTCATTTACTATATCAAAAGAAAATAAGTTAAATTGAGAGAAAACATGCCTTGAGAGGACCACGTGGAAAGAGGTGTAGGATTAGAGCCTCTGGAGTTTCCGATGGATGTTGCTGTGAAATCAGGGCCTGTCTTGAATTCATTCATCTGCCTCAACCAAGGCAACAATTAGGAGAGACACAACAGGCTTTGGCGTATGTAAATTTTAGTGTTTGAATATTCAATCAAAATGTTGATAGAAAATGCAAAAAAATGTAGACAACATACCCAACTGGGTGCAGTGCCAGAAGGGCCATCCCAACCAATGTGTGCCACATGTTTAACATCTGTCGGGTACCCAATTTCCATCTCTCGCTCCTTCACAACTACAAACAACAATACCCTTTCCCATCTCAGTTCCAAAGCAATCAAAACCCATCACAAATACAAAAGCAACCCAGGAAAAATGCTCAGATGCATTCATATTTCAAACACTTAGATGCATACACACAGAAATATGCAAAATAAACAGACAGAAAGTGCCTCACCAAAGATTTGGGAGATGAATTTGAATCCTTTGTAGATCCCTTTGATCTTGGTAGCCATGATGGTGGACTAGGAACACAATGGAACAGCCGGTTTCAAAGAATGATGCAATATTGAAGGAACCTCTAGATAAATTAGGAGAGATTGCACTTTTGCCTGCTGGAAAGTAGTTGTACTTAGATGAGATTTGTTTATTTAAGCTTTTAACAATTACCAAAAGAAAAAAAATCAAAAGGAAAGGACAAAAAGTTGCTGCGTATCAGAGGAGTAATTACATGTGATTGAGGAACTCTATTACCCGTGAAACAAGGTTGGTATCTATCCTTGGAACTAAAGCAAATTATGATGCTACATCGATGAAAGATACGGTCCTATACATCATTTACAATCTTTTAAGAGTAAAGAAATAAATAATTGTAATGTACCTATAAGAACACGGTGACAATGATGGCTGGAAGATTCAAGAGAGAATCAACTTCTCCTCCAAGCATTGATGCAAGGTTCCATTCTTCATCTGGTTTGCTATCACTTTTGATGAATGGAAAAACGTGCAAAAAGGAAACCTCGGAGAAAAAACCAAAGAAATCCAACAGAGAGACAAACAACCCTTTTAAAGAAACAAACGAGGAAGGAAGGAAAACGGAGGCTTCAAGAGAAATGAAGAGAAGAGGGTTCTAAAGGGAAGAGACGAGGAGGTGGGGGTGGGGGGGCCATGAAAAGAATTAAGAACCTCCAAAAACGAAGGGCGAGAGATATTGGGTCTTGAAAGACAGACAAAACAAACAAAGAACCCAGTCACGACATAGAAAAATCGGGTGGTGGCTTCGTTAGTTTGGTTAACGGGCACGAGATTGTGACAATATTTGTTGTTGGGCGTAGGCTGCTTTGTTGTCTGAGCGAGTAAAGCGCGGAACTCAGGTATTTTGTATGTCTTTTTAAGGCTGCTCTGGAAGGAGAAAATGCAGAGTGCCTCTCTCTTAAAATACGGGCAAAAACCAAAAGACATGAGAGAGAAATGCAGTGCATAGACAACTAAACAGACAACTGTTGCAGTTTTGACGACTTCTTCAGGTTAAACGTCAGAAGTTCAATTCCACCATGTAAAACTTGTATTACTTATAATGACCTTATATTAATATGTTCATTCTTCAAAGGATGGTCCATTTTGAGGAAGGGGAAAAGAAGAAACAACTATCAAAAGTCAAAACACCATACAGAACAAATCATTCATTTCATTTGGTTCAATAACAGAAACGTATCTCTTTCATAACTGTCAAGCCATTTTTATTAATCTTTCGTGCCGCCCACATGGAGAGTCATACATTTAAATATCATGCCTGGGAGGTTTGAATCTGATTTTGTAACAATGTCTTCCTCTCAATTTGCTTACAGAATCCTTCCAAGGGTATTACAATATTCCTACTGCGCCTGTGACCACATCACCTTGCAATCTTATACAGCTAATTAAATTTCCATGTTTCCTTGTTGGGAAAAAACTCACAATATCTGCTCATAGGTAATTCAGACAATAATATGCTGAGAATTGTTGATTGTTGCAGCCACGTTTCGGTGCAGCTGTCTCTTACAATGAAACACACACCTTCTTACCTTTGACACAATCTAAACCAGACAATTTATTCCAACGATCTGAACAGGAAATAAATTTGAGTATGTACAATTTCATAGTTCACGTCAACAAGCAATGTATTGTTTGTTTTGATTTATTAAGTTTAATGGTTTACAGATTGAAGATGGTGTAGATATTTAAATACCTAACTTTACTCTCGTACAAGGTCGTAGTGGCATTTACAACTCCCTTTAAAACCATGACACACAAAGTGTTAATTAAAAGAATAATGTTTTTCCATCTGTAGGAATCTAAGGGCACCATAGTTGAAAACACCATCTAATTACTAGACTCTTACTGAAACCTGTGCCATTGTTCAAAGAAAATGTTAATTTGTTTTCTTACAAAAGTTGAAGCACTAACTGAGAAGTAGAGTAGTCAGCAAATGTCAATTTTAGCTCAACTAAAACCAAGGTTAGTAATAGTTTTCCATCCAAATTAGTTTAGTTGATGAGTAAGACAGCAGCAAATTGTTGTATCCTTGCTTCAAAGCAATCAATGAATTAATGAACTAGAACTTCATTGAACCACAAACTCATGTCAGTGCATTGGCAAAATATACAATGAAAGGGATGGTGGAGAACTTCCATTTATTCAATCAAAACAGAACAAGTTGAAAGAGGCGTAGCTGTTGTTTACAGACCTTCTGTATAAGCCACCCCGGTTGATTGCAACCAAGATCCTCCTTGAATGAGCTCGGCCACAGTGAACGGCTTGGCCTCTTCCGCCTTGATCAGGACTTGGTGGCCTGGCCATTTCACTCGCTTGCTAGTTCCAGCTCCAGGTCCCCTGTTCATGTACTCCCCATAGTATAATGTCTTCAATGCAAAATCCCCATTCCAAATTGACCATCCCGAGGGGTCAATATGGTCACCAATGTAGGATTGCATCACAACAGTTCTTGAATACTCCTTCCAGGGCCGGCCCAAATATGACTTGATGGAGGCTTTAACGGGCTCAAGATCAGCACTTGCTATTATATTACAGTTTTGGATCGAAGAACCAGTGTTTTGGTTTGGGTCTATTCTTCCTTGAGCGGTGACCATGTTTGATTGTGAGCTCATGGCCTTTCGGGCTACGAGTTTGCAGTTCTGGAACACCACGGCCGCATTACCAAATATGAAGTCCACCGTGCCAGTGACGTAGGAATCTCTGTAGAATTGGCGGTTGGAGTGGGTGTAGAGAGTGTCCTGGTAAGCATCGATCTTGCAGCGGTTTATGACAGATTGATCGGCTCCTACACGGAGGGCTACTGCTTGATGCTTTTCTGGTCCAGCTGTGTTCTGGAACCATATGTCTTGGGCTATAAATCCATCACCAACAGCCGCTGCATTGGCAAAAGCAAGTAAGCCATAGCCGATATACTATTAGCGGCAGTGACAGAAGGAAAATGGCTGCAGAAGATTAATGAAGGATAAGATCTTTACCAACAGTGGCTGATTTGAAGGTTGTAGTTCCATCAACGAAATTTAGGCTACCGGTGATAATCGTCGAATTCATGCCATCACCAACAATCATTAAATTCTTCTTCTTCTTTCCTATCTCAACGTTTTCTTTGTAAGTACCGTTTTTCACATAAATTATGTACCTGATCTTGCTTTTATCTGGTGCTGCTGCCACAGCCTCCGCTAGCGTCTTGTAGTTGCCACTGCCATCCTTGGCCACCACGACATTGGCCTTAATGTCATTAGGCAAAGCCTGTAAAAGCTTCCGATCTTTACCGCTGACCCATGATGGAAACTCATCGATCAATGGCTCCACAAATCTTGTCTTCCCAGGAGAAATCGAAACAAAAACGGCTAGGGAGGTTCTTGCTCTTGATATCAGGTCATTTAGCCCTGGCTCCATGAGGATCCTGGCTGACCCTCGTAGCCCATCCAAGCACGTGACATGGTTGGTGAGCACACTACTTAGCCACGCGTGAGCATCTAAAAGGGAATAGACATCTTTTTTTCCAAGAGCAACCATAGAATCCCCGATCCTATCCATGGATGACTCCATCAACTCCAGGCAATCAGCCAAAGCTGCTTGATCTCTAGGATTGTTGATCCGATGCTTAAAGTTGTTGGCCAGGTTGATGGCATTTTGCATCTGAGCTGTGGATTTCTCTAAGAAGGCATGTAGTACATCAACATCCTTCATTTTCATAGTTGAGTTTGAGGCTACCTCCGAGAGCAAGGCCGAACATGATTTCTGATCAACAGCTTCCAGACATATTTGGTCTGGTAAGGGAGTAAAGGAGCTGAGTTTTACTAAACGAATAGTAACTAGAGCAGCTGAGCATACTATAGCAGCGATGGAGAAAATTAGGGGGAGAACCTTGCTGGATTTTGGTCTGTGCAGTAGAGGCTGATGGGTAGTAGCCATGCTATAGTAACTGAGCTTGCTAAGCTTAATTGCAGACTTGCAGTCCTTGGCTCTTTTGTCCTGTAGTCCTTAAATAAGCAGCAAGAGATCCTAATACGAGGTTTTTTTTAATCACCGCCCTGGAGATAATGTATAAAATGAGAAAAAAAATCAAAAGTATGGTGTATGGTTTCTTATATACTATATAATATAGTAAAAGTCATTGTTAAAATTTACCTAAAAATTTAAGTAAATCAATCACTACTAATAATTTGAATTTAATTTTTTAATATTTATGTAATTTAAATTGAAAAAATTATTAAATTAATGGTTTTAGAATATGTATTAGTGCGATGTGAATTTTCATATTGTGCTGATGAGATTTTAGTTGTGTGAAGTGTGTCTTCGTCCTCCTAGAAGATGACAGCTATCATTAACTACGCTTCGTGATGATCAGAGTTTCTTATGGATCATTTGTCAACTTGGACAAAGCAAACATGGGACAAATTGACATTAGTTTACACGTTATGCGTTCTTCTGGGTCCCGTATGGCTAACTGGTTCAAAGAAGTAGGCAGTACGAGCTTGCAAATCCCCGAGCTAGCTTGCTAAAGGAACAAGCTCGATCCCCTTTTGTTCTTCAACTAAGGCTAAAGATTCAAACGTCTGACATGATTAGGTATTGACAATTTCTTGTATGCCAATAAGCAAAGGCTAACTTTTGGAAAAAAACGTTCAATGGTTTTGTCAAAATTAAGTGTAGACGCGATCAGTTATTAGTCTCAATAAATATTAGTTATGCAATCAATTATTTAACATTTAAATTTACACGTCTGATTCAAATCAATATTACAACAATTTTTCTTTTTTTTTGTGTCATTATTTTGTGTTAATGAGATTATCTATTTATATGGATATAGTATTGATTTTTATTAAAATTTTAAAATATATATTTAATTTAAAATCAATTAGTAAAGAGCGAAGAGACTTATTTATAAATATTCATTAAAGTTTAATATTTCTCTTTATGTGTAAGGATAACAGATTTATTATATAATATTAATTGCAAGAAGGTCAACGAAAAAAAATAATTTAGATCTTGCTATGAGATTTTTTTTTATCATCATTTCAATATGTAAAAATAACACATAACATTAATTATGAAAAAATTAATTAATAAATGAAGATAACGTCTCTTATAATACCATGTTAAAATTAAAAAAAAACAAATTTATTTATATTTAAATGCATAGTTATGTAATTTAATGGCTAATGGGATTCTAGAGCTCTGAATGGATCCATCAAGCAAGACAAGTCTAGAAAAAAGAAAAGCAAAGGGATCATGGTGCCGCTGTCTGGCACTTTAAGATCCAAGTGGGGGATTTTCTATCCTCCTTAAAAACAATGGGAGCCATCATGATCGAGCAGAAATTCACCACAAACAGAACCCCATAAAGTAATTTTAGAACATGAACATCGCCACTCATCGATCTTCCTTCAACATTTGCGAGTCATTGATTCACCGACTCACCTTTATCTTCCACTCTTTCTTATGCACTTTTTCCTTTTTCCCCTCTTTTCTCTCTCTTTTAGCAACGTGATGTCCACCCACAGCACATCCAAATCATTCCTCTAACTAGCCTGCACAAACTTTGTATCCATTTTCCAAATAAAATTATGGGTAACCCAACATTGTTTACTAGATAATCTTGGAATAATTTACAATAGTATTTGGTTTTATATGGTACTTTTGCTTCAACTTGCAAAAGGATATATTTGCATTTCATCATGATGTTTCTTCTACGATATCTTTTGATTTTAGCAGTACAATGGGCTACATGTCCATGGCTGCCATTTTGAACCAGATATGGGGTTTTAATCATAACCCAAACCTAATTCGTAATGGCCTACAGGAACAATTGAATTAAAACATGGCCCAAGGAGCTTTCAAAGCTTCCAGGGACCAATTTTTGTGCGTTTCGTAACTGTTCTGGTTATGCACACAAGGGATTGAGGAGGATTCCTGGTGAATGAAATAGTATCAGTAGGCACGCTTGACGACTGCAAACTGCTGCTTCTCTATCAGAGAAAAGGAGTTGGAGAGTGAAAGAAGTGCGAGGCAAGGTAACTTGGGTTTTCTTTTTATTCAAGAAATCATTGGTGATCGAGATGAGTTTACAATACAAATGATCGAATGGGGGAAAGTGAAAAGAATTCAACCATAATTAAGCCGGAATATGTCGTTCTGCACGAAGAAGCTTCCTTGAAGCATGGGGATTAAATGAAACATCTGTAACGAGATTAAAACAAGAGATTTCAATAATGTGAAATGGAAATGCATTAAGGGCGAGGACTGAACTTTTGAGTAAGAAACAATAACCTGGCTGAACCGCAAATGGTGCTCCTCGCCTGGCAATTGGAGGCTGCCACTGACAAAAACCACAATGCCACCGGTGAAAGAACAAGGTTGTGAATCGATGGTGCTGATCTCATGTCGGCATTGATCGAATGGCAACTGGTTGAGCTTGGCAGTGATGTCGTCAACCCCTTGTATCTTCTGACCCTCGAACGTCAACATGGAGGTAGGCTGGTAGAGCGAAGAGAGTGCAGGCCGATCATTGTCGAAAAGATGGTAAAAATGATCCACGAATGCCTTCCCGACCAAATCAACTTGTTCTTCCATTGGCTCTCTCAATACTCACAAGGTTCCCTTCTTCTCTACTGTCACATGGCATGGAAATATAGGAAGCATGAATATGCCATAAAAGAGCATATCATGTGGGCTAAGCAACCTAAAAGGCAAAGATGACATTGGACTGGCTCCTGGGTTCCCACCAGATGACTACAATGCCCTCATTTATTCACCGTTTGCCCAAAGGGAAGAGATTTGCCCTTTTCTTTCCTTCCTACTAAAAGAAGGGTGCAATGGTAATTGAAGGATGCAGGAATCCACACCGCTGCATTTATACGCAAAGTTGCATTGGTCGGGGTGGAAATAGCGTAAAGAGTCGATGTTCCTCGAAGGCTTTAATGGAAATAAGGCGCCAACAACCAGGAATTAGCTTAGGTTTAGGCCAGCACAATTCAGAGCTTTCCTAGCCGTCCAAAGGCACTACTCCTTGGCTACTAAGTCCAAAAGTCATTGGTACACAAACCTAAAAGTGCAAAAACGGATCAGAAAGTGAAGAACTTAGGGGTGGGCGGCCGAAAGTATGGAATATATTCCTTTTCCTGATCAACTAACCCTCTTTAGGCGGATGCCGGTAGCTTGATCAAAGAGGGTTTTGTTAGATACCTTGTCTCCACTTAGCCAGTAGGCCACATCTCCATAATCAACTAATTGGAATTGAGTTACTAACAAAGAAGGGTATTGATTTAGATCCCTATCATCGATGTGGAACTACAATCTGTTTGCTTTTACATATGAAAAACCAAGAAATATTCCATTTCGCTTGAGTAGAAGTATTACTAGCAATTAGAGCAAGACCATCCAACTACCATCCTCTTAGTGGGAATTAGCAGGAATGATTTCCAAGATATCACAAGGAGCAAGAGTCCAGGTCCTGCTCTTTCGGAAATTTGTAATTCATACAGGCGCAGGGCAAGCCTCTGAAAAAGCTTTGAATCAAGAGGCTCAAGTAAATTGGTCTTGGTTTAGAATCAAGGTCTCAAGTTCATGGCTTTTCATATTCATTACTCTTGGTTGAGAATAAGGTGCATAAGGCATATGAGTGGTGCTTTGGGCCTCAACCTATTTGCAACTTTAAGCAGCTTCATATTGTATAGCCCTAAGACGGTGAGTTCTCAAGTCCTGAACAAGTATGTAGTTAAAAAAATAACTCTTCTTAAGCAGCCTCTCAGACAAACGTCAACATAGAATGATGTCCCAAATAACTCTAAACAATCAGGGTTCAAGAATATTAAAGCACATTTCAAAGCTTTGCCAGAACATGGATACTGTTTTCTATAACCATTAATCGACAAGCCAAGGTTCAAATAGGAAATCAAGCGCATTCTATGCTGAAAATCAAAAAAATAAAGGAAGAAATAACAAAAACTTTATGTTTCCCATGTCAGGGCTAATTTGAATAACCCAACGAACTATAAGGCATGCAACAAGTACCTAGCACCCCGCATCAACAATTAACATTATCACAATTTATACATTTCAGCATTTCTAGATTACAACCTAGATGACATCTAAGTTGCAATTAATCCAGGTATTGGCATATCATTATTTCCAAACTAGAGAATACATCAAGATAAATAAACCAAAACAAAACTAAATGTAGAAAGAAACTATAACCAGCAAATTTTGCATCAAAATGAACTAAACTTTTCCACTGCCCCTCTTAAACAGTTTGCTCGGATATTCTACTTCCTTAGAATTATTGCACCCTACATGGACGTACACAAGCCATTAAAAGAGGGCCTCCATATCTATTCCAAAACCATTTGGAAGAATTGATCTTACAAAAGAGGGGTTTACTGCCTAATCTCTGTAGATGTGACTCTATGATCATCAAGAACAACTTCAACATGAGCCGGACATGAAAAGACCATGAACTTGGGTGTATGATGCCGAATTTAAACAAAGACACACACTAAGAAGAGTCAGGACAAGTAAAGGCCTCAAAAGGCTAGAACTCAACTGAGCCATTAAAGCTTGGTTTTTGGGCTTCTATACTCAAGATCACCAAACAGCTGAATATCCTGCCATCCCATGCAACATAGCCTCCAAAAGTAATCCAGATTCATCAGCATTTTCAAAAGAGATTAAACATATTTCTGAAGTAATAAAAACCTATAGGATTAACCTTTCCAAACCTAAACTTTGCCTGTCATACATCCATAGAATTCCTTTTCAGCTTAAGAATTGAAATCCTTGAACAAACTTTCCAATTCCTACTTAACTGAGACTTAAACAAAATTAGTAACAATTACAATTTACAAAGTTTGTATTAGGACTATCGGTGCATAGAAGTGGACACATACAAATAGAGAGCTAAGCAAGCCCAGCAAATTTTAGTCCATAAGCACAAAGGCATTCGTTCATAAACTGAGAGAAGCTGATCAAGATCTTTCACACCCAAATTAAACATCATAAGGTATGTAAAAGATGAATCTAAGATAAATTTAGAACATAATGCAGCAGGTAAAAACTGAGATAGTTGAACACATAAATGTAAGGCACTATAATTAACATCTGAAAATCTTATAGCAAATGCACTTTTCAAGCAAAGATGTCAACTTGTAATCAACTAATGGTTCTATAAGCCCAACATTTCGTGCAAAGTTATACATTTAAAAATCGAAAATTGATATCAAGTTCTCAACTAAATTCTCCAAATGTCAAAACCATAATTCACCTCATAGTAGCCAAGAAAACAAAGAAGGATAATGCCTTCAGTTCCAACTGGAAGGCCAGAATCCATGAACCCCATATCCAGTCTTCCAATTGTCCAAGAGAATCACTTTCTTCACCGCCCAGAACGAAACGAAAATCGCAACAAGCATCGCCACACGCTTGGCGGTCGCATCCTTGACATAAACAAGCACATGAGTCACGAATGCAAGCAATAATCCCACAATTGTATAAAGAAAACCCACCGCGAACCCTTCCGCTCCTAGCTGCATCCCCGATCCCTGGTAAAAGAAAACCAATTTGTTTGGATCGTTCCTATCCACCAAAAACATCGGCATTTTCCTTATTATATTATGCATTGCCCCCGAAACGCTGAAGAAGTAGACAAAAACGGCTCCGGAAAGCCAAATTTTGGGATCGTGCAAGAGGGTTTCGCCGGCGAAGATTTTCTTGGCGACAAACGGAGACCAAATTAACAAAAGGGCAGCGATTAGAGCGAGTTGCCTTTTAGAAAGAATGGGCGGACGATGGATGGGACCCACGGTGAGTTTTGTTCTGGACTCGATGAACTCGGCCATCGACTCAGCCATTCGGGAGATATCCCCCTGGTCCATTTGCTCCGAGTCATCTTTCAGGGATTTGGCAGTGGGGCCGACGAGGCGGATGTGGGGGAGGGAATTGACGCCGAAGAGGTGGAAGGAGGATTGGGATTCGCGGAACTCGATGTCGCAGAAGAAGAGCTTGGTATTGGAGCTGTTGTTGTTAGTGATGAAAGAGGAGGCGACGAGGGCGAACTCGTTCCGGAGTTCCCGGAGATGGAGCTCGGATTTGTCGTGGAGTTGGGTGGCGTCGAAGAAGATGATGAAAGAGTAAGGGCGAGGGGTTTTCGGGGATGTCAGGAATTTGGAGACGGTCCGGTCGTCTAAGTGGATGACTCCTGATTTTGATTCGGACTGGAGGGCTAGGAGATCGGCTACCAGCTCTGATTCCGATTCAGCTTTGGAAATCACAAGGAAGAGAGACAGAGTGATGAACGACACTACGAAGAGATCAGTGGAAGAGATCGCCATTTCTTCGTTTGTTTACGGAATTGGCACTGAAGCGAGTTTCGTTTGGTTTAACATTCGACGGCACTTGTACCTTGCAGAAGACTTTGACTTGACATTGATGCAGCAACGCAACGGCAGCGTTTCGTAAACAAGATGGATCCTTTCCTTTGGGCCTCAGAGCAATGCTTCATCATTCGAAGTCCAAGTTCAGTTTTTGAGCTCTTAGGCCTTTGTCACACTCTCTCAGGACAAAGCTGGAAAATTTGTTGGAGAAACTTCCTTCTACAAAGAAAGAAATTTTCTTCAAAAGATGTGAAAGGCTTGTTCAAGGTGGTGCAAGCCAGGCTACATCCAAAGACCCAGGAGCCTGCCAATACTGTTTATCAGAAGATCACAGGGCCTGTTCCTGGCCGTACGATGTTTGTATATCTTGGAAAGTTTTTGGAGCCACCAATCTTTCATATTTATAGTTAATTGAATACTTAATATCCTTACTTTTTCATAGCCTGCACAATCGGAGTTTTTGCATTATACTCTAAGCTTATAAATGATTTGTGACATCGAATTTTTATAGCCTGCAAATCAAATTTTGCTTTTCATAACACATCTTTACATAATCCAGGCTTATATAATTTACAATAAAAATGAAAGAATGACATCCTGCCCCATTATCTAAATGGTGTGAGATGAATGTAGTCCATTCACACCACCCCATCTATTACTTAAACCCAGAAATCAGTCGCTTATATGTACCTTTGTCAGGTTTAAGCCCCATACTCAACATTTCGTCATGAATTTTCATGGCTTTTTTCAATTCCTTCATGTGGCAGAGCTCGCGGATCATGATTGTAAAACTTGCACTGTCGACCAAGTTCAGTCCTGTCATATAGTCATACACCCTGACTGCTTCTTCAGCTTTCCTTTCTCTCCAAAGCACATCAAGAATCATGTTGTATGTTGTTACATCTAAGCAGCCCTTCACTTTCTCCATCTTATCATGCAATGCAACAATTTTGTCGACCTGTCTGTTAAAGCAATAATACTGAATCAACGAGCAACAACCAAATGAGTCAGGCAATAACCCTTTCTCTAGCATTAGATCCAGGAGTTCTTCAGCTTTTCTCCAATTCCTTTTACTACACTGTGATGATATATATTTGGATAATTTGGATGCACAAGGATTATGCCCTCTTTTTATAATATCCACTAACAGTTCATATCCATCATCAGACTGATCTTCCTTGCAAAGAGCATTCATAAATGCAGAATAGCAGCTCTCATTCACAATAATTCTCCTTTTCAAAATCATACGATACACTTCTATTGCTTCATCTATTCTTGCTTCCTGTGACAATGCCTTTAGCATAGACCCATAAGTATCATTCCGCAATCTAATATTCTCATCACAAGCCTTCTTAAACAACATTTCAGCTGCATGAGTCTTCCTCAAATCACAAAGCTTTTGAATGATCAAATCCTTTTTAGAATATTGGTGTCTTGGAACTAATTCCTTCTCTACCATCATCCTCAGTATCCTCTCAATTACTTCTCCATCATTATATTTACAAGCCCCATCAAGTATTGAGCTATAGGTACAAAAACTAGTATCAACTTTTCTATTATACATCTCATTTAATCGATTAAATGCAGCTCCAAAATCCCCACTTTTGCTATAAAAATCAATAACAAGATCATAAATTTCAGAATTATAAATGCCCTTTTCTAGCAATCCAACAACTTTCTCCAATTTCCCATTTTTACAAAGAATTTGAGCAACCAATGACCATGAAAATTGATCAGGCTCAATACCAACTCGAAGCATGGCACCTAAAAAAGCGCAAGCTAGCTTTACCTGATTTCCTCTCTGTAAAGCATCAAGCAGCTCATTACATGCACATACTGAAGGAGTAAATCCATGAATTCTCATTTTTCTAAACACCTCTAATCCTTCCATAAAAAGACCCTGTTTTGAATAACATTTGATAACTGAACTTAAAGCACTAGATGGAAAATTTTTACCTTTGGAAGCTTGAATCATAGAATCTGCAACTATTGGTGCAGGATGGGACTGGATCAGAGAGTTTACAACGGGTTCCACAGGTCGACAAAGATCCGACCTGAGCGCAATTTGGATAATATGGCATTGGGACTTAAGGTCTGGTTTAAAACCTAGATGGGTTTTGACCCAGTTGAAGAAAGTTAGAGAGATTTGAGGGTGATGTTGGGTTTTGAAGAGGATTTGGAGGAACAGAGCTGGGGTTAGTTTGGAGGAGAGATTGAGAGTTCGGAGAAGTGATGCCCAGTTATGTCTTTGCAAGAGAATGGATGAGGCCTGCGAAACCAGCTGGCTTTGCTTGATTTGAGCCCTCCAATAAGAAGAAGAATAGGTTGTTCTTGTTGTCGTGAGAGTTGAAAACGGTTTCATGAAACGGTGAGAGCAGTGAAAGTCGTGCATTTGAGTTCAGTTCAGATTCTGTCCCTGGAAGATAGTTGCTTTTATCAAGCAGATGCTTGAACTTTAAAAACCAAGACAAATACAGCAAAACGAAGTCGTTTATAGTGTTCTTTGTTTCGATTTAGTAGGGTGCTCTTGGGCTCAATTAAAGGTCCAAGTCCAACCAGTGTTGGACAATTACCAATTTCTTTGTGTAAAGGACGGTGGTTACATCCTTGGCAAATTGCAACCAGCGTCAGAATGAATGAAAATATAGCATATACTACAGGCTATATGTAAAGTGAAAGTAGTTCATTGGTTCCTAGTAGTGGTTGGTTCTTATTTTATTTGCAAGTGAATCAAACGTAAAATCAGTTGACTAAGCCAACAGATAAGCATAGGCTTGTGTTATTGAAGTACTGATTCGTTAGCAACTGCAATCACAGTACCCATGGCCTCCGAATCAGCTGAGCTTCACTTTGTTTTGGTACCCTTGATGTTTCCAGGCCATCTGCTCCCCATGGCGGACATGGGCAGAGTACTGGCTCAGCATGGTGTGACAGTCACTCTAGTCACCACGCCTCTTAATGCTCTCTGGATTCAAAAGCATCCTTGGTCCTGGTATAGCTTCTGGGGTCCAAACCCGGCTTCTTCAACTAAGATTTCCATGCGTTGAGGCTAACTTGCCTGATGTCTGCGAGAATATAGATGCTCTCCCATCACTGCTCTTGTTCAAGAATTTTATGGATGCTGTTGGCATGTTGCAGCAGCCGCTTGAGCAATTCTTGGAAGAGACACAACCAGAACCAAGCTGTATTGCCTCTGATAGACCGCTTCCCTGGACAATTAACGTCGCTGAAAAATTCAGAATTCCAAGGCTTGTTTTCAATGGGACGAGCTGCTTTACTGCTGTACGCTCACATTTTATTGACATATCAAAGATTTGCGAGAAGGTCTCTGATGATCTGGAGCCTTTTGTGGTGCCTGGTTTGCCGGATAGGATTGAACTAACTAAAGCCCAGCTGCCTGTTAACTTCAAACCAGAATTAGTGGCTTCGAAAGACAAGGAAGAACAGCTGAGGGTAGCGGACATGGCATCGTATGGTTTGGTGGTTAATTCTTTTGAAGAATTGGAATCAGGATATGTTGAAGAATACAGAAAGGTAAAAGGAGACAAGATTTGGTGTATTGGTCCTGTGTCACTTTTTAACAAGGGCGAAATAGATAAGGCTCAGAGAGGAAGCAAAGCCTCTGTTGATTTAAGCCAGTACTTGCAGTGGCTTCATTCATGGCCCCAAAACACAGTTGTTTACGCTTGCATCGGAACGCTAAGCAATGTCGCACCTGAGCAACTGATCGAATTGGCCTTGGGTTTAGAAGCATCAAACCTTCCATTCATTTGGGTTATCAGAGAAGGGAACAAATCTGATGAGCTCAAAAAATGGGTGTCTGGAAGGATTTGAAGAGAGAATGAAAGGGAGAGGCCTAATGATCCATGGCTGGGCAGCGCAAGTTTTAATATTGTCTCACCCAGCAGTAGGAGGGCTATTGACACATTTTGGTTGGAACTCAGTACTAGAAGGAGTTGCTGCTGGTTTGCCAATGGTAACATGGCCACTATCAGCTGATCAGTTCTTCAACGAAAAGTTAGCGGTGAAAGTATTGAGGATCGGGAAAAGGGTAGGAGCTGAAATTGCCATGAGACGGGGAGAGGAAGAGAAGTATGGAGCGATGATCAAGAGAGAGCAAATTGTGAAGGCTATAGACTCAGTAATGGATGCAGGAGGAGAAGGAGAAGAGAGAAGGAAGAGAGCAAGGGAGCTTGGGAGTTGGCAAAGAAGGCATTTGAAAATGGGGGATCTTCCTATCTCAATGTCAACAGGCTAATCAAAGATATTATGCAAGTCAGTGGCAAGAAAGCGCAGGAATGACACAGTTTTGCTGCTGTAAGCAGGCTCTATGAAAATTCCTGCTTATGGTCCGATCATTGTTCAGTGTAATTTTGGTCTTATGCACATGAAAGCTGAATCCAACAAATTGCAGCACAATGAAATCCCAAACTAGTAAAGTGTTTTCTCTCTTCATTTTCCAACATTATGTGAACATTAATCAGAACTCATTTGAACCAAAAATCAAAACCAAGGTCCACTTTTTATTCACATCCAACCCTATCACCCCATCCCAAAATGGTTTAATTTCATCCATATCTTTCTTCATGTATTCCATTCCCCTGAAAATCGAATTCCCTATCATATATTTTCAAGCATCCGTAGTCCCCTCTGTCTCAGCAGCAGCAAGAACAAACTCTGGCTGTACTCTTCCACCTTCGCTGAAGGTCCCATCTATTGCATTAGGCTGCCCCAATGCCTTCAAGGCTAAGTGTGCTGCTTTCTGTCCTGATATCATCATTGCTCCAAATGTTGGACCCTGCAAAAGCAAACCAGCATTACATCGATACCTCAATCAAAATTGAAAAGTCAGAAAGTAATAGAAGTGAATCGAACAATAGTATTATTTACCATTCTTGGGGCTCCATCAATCTCTGCAACTTCCATTCCTGTAACAATCATGCCAGGCACAATCTCCCTGGTAAGCCTGACGATTGCATCCTCTGCAGTGTTCATATCCAGTGCCTTCATTCCCGGGACGCTATCAATCATCCCAATACTCTTCAATCTCTTGACTCCAGTAGCTCCGAAAGGTCCATCATGCCCACAGGAACTGACCACAACCTTGGACTCCATCACATTTGGGTCCATGCAAGATTGTGTGTCATGGTTCATAGACACCAAAGCCCAGTTAGTTACCACTCCGGCAACTCTGTTATCCTTAACTATCAAATCTTCGGCAGCCACAGCATTGAACAACTTCACGTTAGGCCTGGCCAAAAGCTTGCTCATGATTGTTGAGGTGAATAAAGCTGCATGCTTGATGACAACGTAGTTTTCTTGCTCATCATATTGGATGTCGAGCTCATCTAGGAATATGTGAGCTGGTTTGCGCACAACCATGGCTGAAAATAGTTGGCCACCAAGCCATGCGCCTCCACCAGGGCTGACAGACTGTTCAATTATGGCAACACGGACGTTGGGGTTTTTGCTAATCTCGTAAGCACAAGAGAGACCCGCAGAGCCGGCGCCTACGATGATAACATCAGTGTCAGCATAAGTAATCATGTCCATCATGTAACGGCGTGTCATTTCACGAGCGACGTAGGATTCTTTGATGGGTTGGAAGTTAAAGGATTGCAAGTCATAAGGAGGAGAATTCAATGACATGGAAATGGCGGAGTTCTGGGAGGAGGATCTAATGGGAGTGAAGCAAGAAGCAATCGGGGTGCCATGGAAGGATGACTTGTGGTCTAAGAAAGATGGTTTGGGGCTTGGAGACAGTGAGGCGAGGGTTGTCGCCATGGCTGCCATTGATTGTAGTGGAGTGTTTTGAGATGCCTTTGTGTGGTAAATGAAGCAGATACGGTGGGGAGTGATGGGTGACTGAGTGTCAACATGGGGTATTTAAGCTTTTTTGAAGGATGGAGAGATATGATAATATCTTAACTGGAGTATCGAAGCTTGATCAAAATATCTATTGGAAAAATCTGAAAAAAGTGAAAAGGATCGATGAAGATAGAGTTTGAACGGTTCATAATGCTTGGATTTTTGCTATCTTCTTGGGATCTGGGTACCATGATAGCATCTGTGGTATTGATATGGTCGCTAGCTTGCTTTTCTTGTGAAAGGGAAAGGGAAGCATTGTGCCTTTGAACTTTCATTTCTGCATTGTATTCATAGAGCTGAACCTACTATAGTTATGGGCTGGCATTGTATTATTGTCGGGCTTAAAATTTTAATGGAAAGTTTGAAATTTGTTTCATTGGTTGGGCTGGCCCTGTATGATTGGTTGGGCTTACAAATTTAATTAAAAATATAAAAATTATTGACAGCTGTGGGATTTGAACCCACGCCCTTTCGGACCAGAGCCTAAATCTGGCGCCTTAGACCACTCGGCCAAACTGTCAGTTAATGATAAAAGTTCCGATCAATATCATTATCTACATAGATAAAGCTGAGATTACTTTATTTCTCCACTTTGGTGTAAAACTTGAAATCTGGTCTTTGGAGTCTTTAGTCTCTCAAATTGCAAGCTAATGAACTCGCTGCAACATGTTCTGGAATTCAAGAACTTCAAGAGAAACTTACAGCGCCATGAGAAGATAATGTGACCGGGACACTGCCCTGTTGTTCAGGCCTTTGCGGTGGGCGGTGGAAATCAGGTACAGCCAACAAATGGCCACATTCTGTGAAATAAATAAAGACCATAACAGTTGTTCGCGGGGCCAATACATGAGAACTTCAAGAGCTAGAACTGAAATTAACCAAATGAATCCAAAAAGTAAACAAGGCAGATTCTCAACCTTCTCAACCAAATACAAGATAAAGAAACATTGCTGTTCAAAGTAGAGTGAAAACAAGTCTGGGTTGTCACTGATAGTTGAAGCTATACATTCGGTCGTTCACTTTCACTTCATTAATCAGCTCTCCACAATAATGGAACTGTTGTGGGACCTTATGACTCCTAAGATCAGTCCTCTCATCCTGATGGCATGCGGAGGTTTCTGAATCAACATAATCAATTATTGAACCCTTAATCTAACTGCTAATTCAGGTTTTCGTAGTTTCAATTACAGAACAATTTAATAGTTTAATTATATCTCAAACCTTCTTGTCCACATGTAGATGTCTCTTCACAATTATAACCTAATCCTGCTTTCTTCGTCATCGGAAACAGCATGTTGGTCATGTTTACCGAGAAAGCAAGCTCTGCTTTATGCCTTCTTTCACTGCTTCCAGTGTAAAAAACACTTTGTTTCATTCCCTGATTTAACTGTAATTACGATGCATCTGCTACATAAAGGAGGTACAAACAAACCAAATTAGAAAGGGAGGTGGAAAATTGTGGTTGTTTTTATTCCTTCTTTTTTGCGTAAAGCTAAAGATTAAAATGTGCTTGGTTGCTTTAATTTCAATTTTAAACTTGAAGCCAGCGGTGCCACTGTGCCAGCGAGCAAGGAGAAGGGGTGTTGGTCCCGAGTCCCGACCGCCAAATCCAGTTGTCAAATCCAAGAAACTTTCTGATTCTTGTAAGACAAATAAAACCCAGTCACGTTCTTGCATGCAAGAATCGGACCCCACCCTCCAATTTTATACTGCTAGTTGCAATTGGAGGGCAGCCTGGCTTTTCCATGTTTGTTCTCCATGGGTCATCCTCCCTAGTCATTCCCTAAAATACCCATGTCGGCTTTGCATATCAGTAACTAGTACTAGCCATCTTTTCCCACCTTGCTTGATACCTGAGGTTGTTTGAACGCAATCGAGATTCTTGCTGTGGTTGTATTCTGCTGATCCAGGATCCAGCCCTTTCTTAGATATGAATGTGGAGGAAAATGATGAGTGCGTGCTGGTATTTTTGCAAGGATCTGAACATTCTTACATGGGTAAATTGGTACATTCAATCATTATCAAAATAATTAATAGACAAACTATGTTTACTGTTCTACCCTTTCACATGAACTCTCCATTGTCAAATACTCATCATATTCAATGCACATTTCTTCCTCGGAGATCAAGCAGAGATAGCTCATCTCCTCTCCTTCCCAAAAAAATTCTTCAGCCAAACGAAAATGAAGATAAGGGTCTCTCCAATGGCCTCTCTTCTCTTCATTGCAGTTCTGATATCTGCAATCTGTCCTTCATCCAAGGCAGCTGGTTCACAAACTTCTTTTGAAGATAACTTCAGTATTATGTGGTCTGAAGACCATTTCAAGACCTCTGAAGATGGCCAGACCTGGTTCCTCTCCTTGGATAAAGAAACAGGTATATTTGATTCAAAATCGATTCCTATATTAATTAACTTGGTTCATATAGATGGTTTTTAAATTTGTTTCTGTCTGTTTGCAGGCTGTGGATTGCAGACCAAGCAAAGATACAGATTTGGTTGGTTTAGCATGAAACTGAAGTTGGTAGGAGATGACTCTGCTGGTGTTGTGACAGCTTACTATGTAAGCGCTTCTTGACAATTTTCATCAAAGATTCAATCTTGTATTTGTTCTTTTGGTTCGGAAAGCTGAAGTTAATTAAGAGTGTTGCAGATGTGTTCTGAGAATGGGGCAGGACCAGAGAGAGATGAGCTGGATTTTGAGTTCTTGGGGAATAGGACTGGGCAGCCATATTTAATCCAGACAAACGTGTACAAGAATGGGGTCGGAGGCCGTGAAATGAGGCACATGCTTTGGTTCGACCCCACGGAAGGGTTCCACTCATATTCCTTTCTCTGGAACGACCAGCAAATTCTGTAAGTCAAACGAGCAATTGGTCACTATCACTTTCACACACACATGGCATTGCCTGGATTGGGATCCACCGGGATGAACCGGCAGTGATGATCATCTCTGTCATTGTGTAACTGAGATTTGTGATACTTCAACCTAACCATAACCCGTTGAAAGCTGAACCGAATTTCCTTACTTGCAAACAGTTTCTTAGTGGATAGAGTACCCATCAGAGTATACAAGAACAACGGTCAAGAAAACGACTTTTTCCCCAACGAGAAGCCCATGTACTTGTTCTCCAGCATCTGGAACGCCGACGACTGGGCCACCCGAGGTGGGCTGGAGAAAACAGACTGGAAAAGAGCACCATTCGTGTCCGCGTACAAGGACTTCAGCGTCGAGGGGTGCCAATGGGAAGACCCTTACCCTGCATGCGTATCGACCACCACCAAGAACTGGTGGGATCAGTACGACGCTTGGCATTTATCTGATTCTCAGAAGATGGATTACGCTTGGGTGCAGAGAAACCTTGTTGTTTATGATTATTGCAAGGATTATGAACGATACCCCAAGTTACCTGGGGAGTGTTCATTGAGTCCCTGGGATTAGGAGAGCTACCAATTGAGAATTTAGCATCAAATTTTGTATTCTTTTTATATTTTTTTTCAATTAGTATAAAATATGGGTTTTTGTTACACTATTGTATTCAATAATTGGATATTTGTATAATTTATTCAATCACTCTTACTTTCCTTGATTACTTTAATTATAATTATCCCATTTATTCTCTTCTTTTTTTTTTTGGTATCAAGATTAATTTGCATAGAAAAAAATTAATGAAGATCAAAATTCAACTTAAAATTTTTAAATTTCATGTAAAATCAAATTCACCCAAAATGCTATTTTCGTTTGTATACTTTTAATTGTATCGAATTAATATGTTATTTGAAAAATAAAAGAAAAAATGTTCTTACCATCCTTAATTACCTTAATAACTATAACTATCCAATTCCTTCTCTTTTTTCATGTCAAGGGTATTTCTCAAAAAAGAAAATTATAATTTATAAAAATTAAAATTCAACTTAAAATTTTTTTAAAACTTTATATAAAAAATCAAAATCGATCATGATATATGAGATGAAAGAATGAATTAGTATTTAATTATAATTCTAGTACTTGCTTCCTAATTAGTAATCTAGTATGTTCTCTTCTTCTTCAAGAATTATTATTTAAATAATTAATATGATAATTAATCATATTAGTTAATATAATGATGAATTAGCTTAGCCTTAAGCACATCTTGGCACCGCCTAGTTTTGTAGTTTACTCCAAAAGAAAGGGTATTTATGTCAATTCGAAACAGAACAAAAACCTTTAAAACACGCAGGCTTTCGTTCTCAAGCGGCCCAGAACCTATCTTCCGTAGGGCTTCGATTTCGTGAAGGAAGGACGAAACTGGGAAGGGGGAAAGGTTTGCAGAGCAAAGCAAGTAACTTGCAATGGTGTGCGAGAAGTGTAAGTTTCCTCACTCTGCGATTAAAGTAGTTTTCTGGTTAATTAGGGTAATTGTTGTTGTAGTAATCTGAAAATTTTGAAGCAGAAACTGATGGAACAGATTAATTTTTTTAATTTGCAGGCCAGAGGAAGCTGTCGAAGGTGATCGTGCCGGATAAGTGGAAGGAAGGAGCCACCAACACCACCGAAAGCGGTGGCCGGAAAATCAACGAGAATAAACTCCTCTCCAAAAAGCACAGGTCTTTTTGTTTTTTCCCTTCTCCGTTTTCAGTCTTATAAATTTTGTTGACTAGTTTGTAAAACATGATCAAAATTTGAATCTTCGTCTCAAATTAGGGTTTTTTTTTGTATGAAATTTTGTTTAAAATTGTAGCAATGCCTCTTTATCAGTTGATTTCTGTTGAGGAATCGCTTGATTATTGCTGTAAATTATTATTAATTCTTGCAAGGATGGGATTGAATACTTGATTTTGAAAGTTTTATGATTAGATATAGCACCACAGTATTTGCATAGTGTATTAGTGTTAATAAGCATATATACATAGCCTTTGGGAAAAGGATTTTATTTGATTGCTAGTTTTCTATCTTCTCTTTACTACAGGAGGTAATGCTCATAAACATATGTTGGGGCTTAGGCTTTTAGCTGCAATTGCTTTCATGCAATAT